AAAAAAAAAATTTAAGGTTAAATTAAACAGATAGCTACAGCATAAGAGAACTGGGAAACTGGATAACGATAACTAGTTTAATGTAAATTTAATAGCACCTGTAGTTTCTTTCTGCTTAGAATCTAAAGGATTGTTTAGACCGCTTGTTTAAAAATAAGACTGTTTATCGTAAAATCATGTCTCACACACTTGAGGCAGTGGTCAAACAGATAAGGACTATTATGTGTGTCATTTTAAAGTTGGAATTTAGCCTCTGAATACCTTCTCCATTGGAAAAAAACATTCATTGAACCACTCATGACGCATCTTAGATGGTCATTGATGTATAAACTAATTGTTGGTTTGATATTTATGTAAATATCAGTTTACCATGCTTTAATTTTGCACAGTCATATTATAGGGAGCCGATTGGTTCTCTTATTAGTCTTGTGGGTTTTCTGTTTGGAAGGAATCATGGCATCTGTTTACATTTACCTTATCAAATCTAGAATGTGTATATTTGTAAATGTATGTCTTCATTGCTAGGTACTAGTTTGCAAATGTCTTTACATATTTCAATACAGAAACTATAACATTCAATAGTGTGCTGTCAGTGTGTGCTTAGCTCATCAGGATATACCCACACTGTTAAATAATGTTTAAACATTAATCATTAAAACATTTTTGATTACCTGTGCTTGTGTTTTACACTGTTTATGTGCTACCAATTTTGAAAAACTAGACAAAAATTAACTTTCTTCACCCTCTAGGAACTTGCCTAAATAGATGTAAATAATCCCATTTGAAAGGTTATATTGTCGCTTAGTTCACATGAGGGAGGACCATGCATAAGCATGGTGGTGGTTCCACCCTAATTCTTTCCTCTGTCTTCTCTGGGTTTCCCCACTAGAGGTCCCAGCTCTAAGCATACTCCTTTATCCTTCCTTCCATCGATCCTGCCCTCTCCCCTCACCCCCAGGCAGAATTACTTTCCTAGGTCTAAACCACAGGTCCACAAATTTTTTCTGTAAAAAGCCAGATAGAAAATATTTCAGGCTTTGCAGGCCCTAAAATCTGTCCCAGCTACTCAGTTGTACCATCACAGAATGCAAAGCAACCATAGACAATATGTAAATGAGTGGGCATGATTGTGTTCTAATAAAATTTTATTTACAGAAGGCCTGTGGCCATAGTCTGACCTGTACTTTAGAGTAATGAGGGCCCTCCTTGGCCCCAAAGCTCCATCACTCTTTTTGCCGGAGATCATTTTGTGTCCCACATCCTGGCCCTCCCAGCCTACTTCTGTCCATTTGACTTAAGAGGTCTGTGTCCACAATGGGAGGGATGACATGACTGGCCTTCAGCTACTTTATACTACACTGTCCCCAGTGTGGGCTTGATCCTGGCTTCTGGGTGCCTTCGAGTTTATAAGTATTACTTTAAAAATGTCATCTGAAATTGCATTTAGTATTTGGGATATTATCCAAAAGGTGCAAGAGGATTGTTGGGGGATTGGTGGTATAATTAACCATATCCCTGTCTTTCCCCTCTAGGTCCTGAACAAATTAAAAAAATAAGCAGAAATCAGACCAATAGAAATCAAAATAGCATGTCTCTTACTGGGAAGACTGGATTGCTGAAACTAAGACCATGATATTGCTCTCTAATTACCCTAGCTAATAACCCTACTGACCTAAACTTACCAGGGCTGGCACTAGCACACCAATCATTGTTCTAATGGTTGATTTGGTGATGAACTAATTATTATTTTGAATATCAGGCCTAAAATTTACCCACCTGAAACTACAAGCTCCCCTTGCAGTGGCAGATTCTACCCTGGGGACTTTACCACTCCAAGAAAGTAGGATCAGTTGCATCTCCCAATCTCAGCAATCAAAGTCTCTCCTCTCCCCTCAGAAGAGTGAGAGTGGGTGAGAGGATCTAGTGAAGCCAGATGTGTTCCTACACTTCTCCCTTTCCTGTACAGAAGGACAAGTTTGCTCACATTTACAGAAAAAGGAGCATTCCCATTACCCCCGTTTTTCCATCCTTGCCATTCATATGGAAAAGCAGTGTGGTCTAATATGAGAGGCGCAACTTGGGGGTCACATTGCCTAGGTTGAAGTCCTACCTGTATGGCCTTTAGGCAAATTGCTTTAACTTTGCATCAGTTTTCCCATCTGCCAAACAGGAATAATGTTAGTCTCTACATTACAGGGTCGTTATGTATGAGGTTTAAATAGGTTACTACAATAGTACTTCAGAAAGTTCGTGGAAAAATAGAATTGAAAAAGAATACGAATCTTTCCATGAACTTTTTGAAATACCCTCGTGTGTGTGTGTGTGTGTGTGTGTGTGTGTGTGTGTGTAAGCCCTTAGAACCATATCTAGTGCATAGTAAACTAAGTGAT